TTCACACTTATTTGTTCTGTAGACTACACATTTTATGTAACAGAGTTAACTTAAAAGCCAAGTTTCACAATTGTTTGTTCTGTAAAGTACACATTTTATGTAACAAAGTTAACTTAAAAGCAAAGTTTCACACTTATTTGTTTTGTAGACTACACATTTTATGTAACAGAGTTAACTTAAAAGCAAAGTTTCACACTTGTTTGTTCTGTAAAGCACACATTTTATGTAACAGAGTTAACTTAAAAGCAAAGTTTCACACTTATTTGTTTTGTAGACTACACATTTTATGTAACAGAGTTAACTTAAAAGCCAAGTTTCACAATTGTTTGTTCTGTAAAGTACACATTTTATGTAACAAAGTTAACTTAAAAGCAAAGTTTCACACTTATTTGTTTTGTAGACTACACATTTTATGTAACAAAGTTAACTTAAAAGCAAAGTTTCACACTTATTTGTTTTGTAGACTACACATTTTATGTAACAGAGTTAACTTAAAAGCAAAGTTTCACACTTGTTGTGTTCTGTAAAGTACACATACTTTATCTTGAGGCTTGTTAGTATTCCTCTTTATTTCATTTCACTGAATAAAAAATGTGTCCCATATAAAGAAACTTTGATCAACATTCAGGTCCACTTTTTATATCTTACAGCCATCTTCTTATATAACCCAATAAAAAATGTACAGGTCTAATATCATGCACTACCATACTTTATTTTAAGAAACATTACAATGAAGTGTCTTGTATATCAGTAAAACTAATATAAATACTCCTGTTCTTGATATTTCTGATGTATCAATAATTTATCTCTGTACTCCTTTTAGAAATTAATATTCATTTATTGCCTTAACCTAATATATAAAAAAAAAATGATTTGGTTGGATTAAATAAAGTCATAATCAAAGAAAGGCTTTCATACAATAACTAAAAGTTTAAAACTTAAACATTCATAATAACTCGGCTGTTTTGCAAGTAGATTTTCCAAAAGAAAACAATCCGAGTTTTCAAATAGTATATTTATAGACAGGGTTGGAAGTTGTAAAACTAAAAGTGCACTTATTTGAATCTTGTAGTTTTTTTATTTAAGTTCACCTTCAAAAATTCACTGTTTTCATACTGTTTGAGCCAGTAATATTCCTGTTCAAAGACCACAGATTTGGAGCTGTGTTTCATGTGTTAAACAGTTTTATGTATGCAGACAGAAATTTGAATGTTTCTAGTTCTCAATTATTATTTTTTATTTTCTTTATCAAAAACACAGCTCCACATCTGATAATATTTATATTTTAGGTGATTTTAGAGTGGTGAGGTTGCACAGAATTTTCAAAACTAAATTTTATCATGTACCCACTTAGACAAAATTTACTGAGTTCGAAAGAATTAAACTTATCTTAAGGGAATTTGAAACTTAAAATTAGAAGTATATCTGCAACCATCTGTGGGAAGGTAATTTCTAATAATGTAACAGAATATAAATTTAGAAAAAAAAGTTAATAAAGACGGATCAATAGAAGTAATAAACAAAACCTGTGAAAGTTGGCATTTTAGCCACTATATAATGATTTATACTTGCATAAACAGTAATACTTATCTAACGTGACTGAGTGAAATATGCCAAGAAATAGGCACATACCTCCCTAATGTCAGTAGTATGGAAAATTATCTCTGGTCAATGTATTGTTAATATTTCTGATATGTACAAAATGCCTAAAAAGGGATTCTTATCTGAAGTTCTGGATTTACATATTTCTTTTATGTATTTAAGCAACTAATTTTTTTTTCTAATAAAATTGTTTTCTGTATAGCAAGTTTTATCATATGATGTACTCTTACAGGTGATTGACAAAAGTCTGTACGTGTCGGAGTTTCAACTTGAAGATGATGTAGAAAATGTGAGCAAGTAGGCCACATTCTGAAGCTGTTCATAAGGTAAATACAATTCCTTGTTGTTTTTTTTAACAATTTGAACTTTCAAGTTAAAAGAATATATTTAGGACATAAATCAAAATGAATGATGTTAGAGTTATGAAGAGTAAATTGGTTTATTCTTTCTAGTAGGTTTTTCAACAAAAACTTTGCAAGAATGTGATCATCAAAAACTATTAAAAATAATTCATAAAAAAATAATTGAACTAAAATTTTCACCAGAACTGTTTTTAAAAGTTCTACTTGAATATTGGGGATTTTTTAAAAATAGCTGGCTATGTCCAGAATTATCAGCTAGATATGGCTAGAAGTAGGTTTACCTGGCTATACCATGTTCAGTTTACTTTTTAAAACTTGATTTGCTTTACCAAGTCTGAGGAAAGGATTAAAAAACTGTTATAACAAGATATGAAAAATACAAAGCACGTGGTACCTTGAATTTCTGATCTAGTGCTTGAAAATATCGTACGCAAGTTTTTCGGTAACATTTAACAGGCTGGAAAACATATTTGATGGGTTGGATAGAAATTGTGGTAGTTTTATACTTTATATGCAGGAAAATATTACAATTTCCTCTAAAGCAACATTAACAAACTCCACATATTTTGCAAAATATGTTACTTGAGTAATTAGTTTACTTTTCATAAAATCTGCTCCGAGTTGCATACAGCTGTTTCTAGACACTGTATTTTTTCATAGTAAACATTTTGTACAATTTCATGTAGTGTTGACATCATGAAGTAGTCAAGGATTAACTGTTGCTTTTAAATTTGCCGAATTATTACTCTAATAATACATTAGCGTGTGCATACTTTTATAGCATGAGATGACATTTCCTTCCACACTAACGTGAATGATACTTTGTTTTAATATTACATCAAGCAAATGAATTTATGGTTTGGTGTTACAGCTTTAAAATGAAAAACATGTTGAATAAAATGGAAATATGAATATTATATTAATAAAAAGGTATCAGTTAGTAACAAACATGTTCAAGAAGCTTATGACAACAAGTTCATGCTGGCATGCTTAACTAAATTATGCTTATTTTAGGTTTGTGTTTTATGATATATATATATATATATATATATATATATATAATACATTGGTATAGAAATAGAGTATATGGTGAAACTGACTTCAGTTATTTCGAAAATGTACTTGTGAAAAGTATATACGGTGTAAAGTATATTCATGATACGGTGATGATGGTGTGGATATTAGTGAATGCAGATAAACTGAAAAGCATTAAGTGGTAGTATTCATTTTGGGATGTGTATATAATAAGTGTAGAGAAAGAGAGAGAGAACAAGTAGTGTCATATAACAACCAAAATGTTACACAGTTTTCTGTATGATTTGCCCACTGTTTGACTCCTAATTTTGAAACTGGATTAGCCAAGTTGTTAGAAAAGTTTAAAAATCAACTGAAACTACACGTAGTAGACATACACATAATAGAATATTAGGTAATAAAAGCACAAATTTATACTTTATGTTATTATTACTTTGGTTTGGCCATACTGTACTCAAAACACTAACTAACAAGAAGCATTGTCACAACTTTTGTTATGCACAGTTGGTTTAAAAAAAATGTAACCTTGGCGTTAGCCTCCCTAACATATACTAAATTGAAGACAAAAAAGAAACAAAAAAAAAAAAAGTTAAGTGAACATAACACACAAATATTAATTGACACATACCAAAGGACTTGTCTGTTCACAGTACACAGTGCTGGTTGAGTATTATGCTTCTGGTATGCAATAATTTTTTGTGTTTGTAAGAAGTAGTTAAACCTCTATGAATAAGCCTTCTAATCCCTGGCTGGTGTGTGTGTATGTGTGCTGCTACAAGATTCTACATTTTCACCAAATTTATTCCCCTGGCTCTTGAAACTTGTTTCTAAGCTCTGCAGAGACATCATTAGCATTTTGATCAGATTTGTAGATAAATTGTTAACTTATAATTCTGATCATTAAATGAGATACTGTTAAAATTTAGTTATGTTTGTATTAAATCTTATAATAAAATTGTGGCTGAAGTGTGCAAAATGTAAAAAAAATAAATATATAGTATTTGTTTTATTGTTATATAGTACAAACAAAATAAATTTATGTGCATTGAACGTGAAATAAGGTACCAACCTTTTAAATGGTTTAGTTTTTTCGGACATGGTCAGAAAGATTTTTAGAAGTTAATTTGTATAAAATAATTGATATAACTAGTGCACGCGATACAGTGTGTTTAGATTTGTTTAAACAGCATGTTGCATGCTATAAAATACAGCTGGATAATTAGTGTAATTTGATAACTGATTAATTGTTAGTCTCATTAATTGACTACATTGAACTAATCAATTACTCTCACACAAGTTTATAATAGTTGAAATAAACGATAATAGTAACGAACGGAAACACTAATTTCAATAAATTATTTTTGTTGGTCACGACATTAATCAGCTTTGGATTAATTGAAAATAATGAAACAAGTTATAAGGGCAATATTTTATTTACTTACACAGAATAACTGGAATCATCAGTTTGTTTAGTTGAATATTTTGTGTAACACTAATCAGTGTAGTCAGTACTTGTAGGTAATCAATTATATTGAGTAAATCACCCAGTTCTCCTATAGAACACAATATAATGCAGTACGGTATCAAAGATTTTGACACTTGTTTTACATATTCAGAATGGATAGGAATATTTTATAACTATTTTGAACCAAATAGTAAACTTGGTGTTGAATTTTTTTAAAATAGTCGGGTTAATCTGATATTATAGATATTTTTGAAATACATGTGTACTTGTTAAACACGCATACTGTTGTTGTTTTCGTTTAGCTTTGATATACTATTAAACTCAGAATTAATATTAAATAATTGCCAGTTCATCTAACTATTGTAAAATTTGACATAAGTAATTGTAGTAAAGAAAGAAATAATTATTGTAGTTTTTGTCTGAAGCCTATGTATGTTCATGGATTAAAATTTCAAACTTGTTGCAATAATAATTTTATTAGTGTTGAAACATGTGGCAGATGAAAAATGTGCATCGTTTCTTACAGTAGTAATGGTTCTTATACTTGTAAGCTGTATTTATAAAGGGCCAATTTTTATTTGTTTAATTCATGTACACAATTAGAACAAATGTGGTGTTTAAGTTTGGTATTTAGTAATTTATTAGTTCTGTGTGCAATTATAATGAAGTCTGAAATCAAGCCATGTTCTTAACCTTTTTTTTTCCCTTCTTTGCAGAAAACTACCCTGTCTGGATGAGACTTTCAAGAAACTTGTAAAGTTTAATGTACCATTATTCTTGAGAAGTCATCATCTTCCAGAATTGGTCATACAGAAATCACTGAGAATAGCTATTTGTGTTTTATATAATTCTTAATTCAAAAATATTTATTTTGATTTCAGCTTGCAAAGATTGTGAGCAATGGCATAGTTTAGCGAGGAAGGTTTGTAATCATTCATATCGAGTTTTGCTGTAAATAGAAAATAAATGAGCTCGATATTAATGACTACCACCTTCCTAATCAGTGAATAGTTAGTACATGAAAAGATGCATCCAAAATGAAACTTCATTAGAATAAAAGAAAATGATTCAAATACAGTGAAAGAATACAAAGAAAAATCATATGTGGGGGAGTCTGTACTAAGATGTTAATACCCCCTCCCCTTTTATAGACTGAATAGAAAATTTGTATTGGATATCTTTTTTTTTGTTTTGTTTTGTTTTATCTTAAAGTTGCACAGAAGTCACGTTTTATCATCATTCATCTGTGGTAAGATGCTGTTCTCAACATCAGATGAGATTTTGTACATAAGTTTAACCTGGGGTTTTTCTCAGCTACAGGTTTAATTCATATGATAAACAGTGTTGTCTTTCATGTATGTGGCAATGACTATGTGGTGAGTAGAATGTTTGACCAAGGTTTGGATAAGTTACTGATTAGTTATAGTTAATTTTGAAGAGGGGAAAAAGATCCTTTGAAAAGATCCAAATAGTCATTGCCAATATGTTTGTAGGTTTTTTACATGTATTTTTCTAATATTCAAACTGATTATTCTCAGTGAGGGTGGTTGTCTTGAAGACAGGTTTCTCTTTTTTTTTTTCTTTCTTTTATTATTATTAAATACCTACATGATGCAGACATCAATAACAATAAAAAAATGTAGTAGGCCTGAAGTCCTTCTGCAGAAGTAGGATAAGGAATAAAGATTAATAAAATTATATTTCTTAACCTTCTTATAAGATAACCACACTCACTGAAATGAAAAAAAAAGTGTTAAAAATGTGAACACAGCACTTTTAATAAGATGAAACCCAACAAGTAAATGTGGTAGTTCTACAAACCAAGACAAAAGATAGAGCATGGGGAAACTAGTTTGCTGTAGTGTTGCGAGTCCAGACACTTTATAAAGCACATGGAAACTAGTTTGTAGTAGTAATGTTGTGAGTCCAGACACTATAAAGCATGAAGAGACTGATTTGTGGTAGTGTTGTGGGTACAAACATTTATAAACCACAAGAAGACTGATTTGTGGTAGTGTTGAGTCCAGACAAATAAAGCTCAAGAAGATTGATTTGTGGTCGTGTTGCAATTCCAGACATTTGTAAAACACAAAGACTGATTTGTGGTAGTGTTAAGAGTCCAGAACACATAAAAGATTGATTTGTGTGTAAGCTAAGGCATACCAGCCATTCTTCAACTTGAAATACTCTTAACATAGTGAAGTGAGAATAGAAGATGTATGGAAGTACAAAGGAAGAAGATGATGATGATGATACTTTTTTTGGGAAGAACTAAAGAACAGAAATATTTTGTCTATGCAAGTGTATTGAAATTTGAGTGAATTTTTTTTGTTTAAAAAGAACTTCAGGCCTTCTACTTTATTTGGCTAGTTTCAATTGAATGGTATCTGTAAAACTAATTTGGATAACTATAAGCAGTATGCTTACTATGAAACCTTATTTTTGAACTTTCAGAGTTTTTACTTTACCTCATCTGAAGCAAGCCCCCCTTTCTATAGACGAGAACACTAAAAGTTTGTGTCATTTAGCTTCAGGGTAACCTTGCTCTACTGGGCTTGAAGTCAAAACTATTTCTACCCTATAACATTTATTAATTCTTATCAATGGTCTCCGAGTAGTTAGGGCCATAATTAGCCTTGGTATTTTGCCTAAAGGAATTGGCTATTCTCCACATTTTATTATCAGATCTACTAATTAACATTGACTTATAGTAGGCACTAAGTACAATAATGTTGTCTTAGATTTTTTGTTCTTTTCTTTGTAAGTTTACATTCACAAGATTTAATTCTTTAGTCTTTCATGGTTATTTTTGAAGCGACAAGCACAAGCTTTTAGTTTGGGTTGAAACCAAGGAAATGGCCTCCTTTTGGTTGCCCAATGTTCACGTCTTGAGTGGTTCAGACTTAACTAGGTTACTTGTAGTAAAATAGTGTTTATTAATCTGTTTGCACAAGTCATCCTAAAATCGATTGAATCTATCTTGGTGTGGTTAAGTCTGAGGATCGATTCTAGGCCATAACAATACAGTTTTTTCCTGGAAAATTGGAAATATCTGTTAAGGTGTATCTTCACCAAGTATAAAAAATGTCTTTGGTTAACGAAAGAAAAAAAAACTTACCAGTGTTAACTTTTTAGTTATTAAATTACAATTCAAAGGAGAATTATTTTGTACAAAAATGCTAAGAGTAATAAAATCTGGCTCATATGAAGTTGAGTTAATTGACATGGTTACAAGTAAGAAAATAACGAGAGGAATGAAATATAATCATTGATGAAAAAAAACCAAAAAAACATGCATTAATTATAAAATTTGATACTGTGTTACAAGATTGTTATTATGTACTGAGTATTTTTAAAACTTGATCAAATTTAACGAGATTAACACCTACAATTATGATACTGTCTGTATAAATAAATATTATTACTGATAAGCAAATGAATTTTTTTTTTTTTTAGGGGGGGGAGTAAAATGATATTATTTAATGAATTAATAAATACCGTTTATGGCTTGAAATTTGTCAGTATGTTTGATTTTCTTCCAAATTAACTTCAGTGATACAAGATCTTAAAACACAAGTCTGTCCCATACCACACACACACTTAATGTAGAAATCTAATAGTAGAAACCACAAGTGTCTTGTGCACTATCGGAAAGTAAGCACCGACAGTGCTATGTAAGACAGCTACTAACTAAGCATATTCATAGATGGGTATACCGTAAGGAAGAGGTTTACAGCAGGTCAATTTATAGAACTTAGTTTAATATTTACCAGATCAAGGTTTCATTACCAGAAAATGTTGTTTGCATAAGGTTCATTTGGGGAAGAAAGGATAGTATTTTCTCAGGGTGGTAATTTAATCAGTGCGAATATTTTCTATACGTGATTCGTTCACGAGTATAAGGAAAAGGAAATAATACCGTTTGTGCGTCACAAGGAGTAGAATGCGTATGAAACGTTAGATTAATAAATTCTGAACAAAAGTGAAACGTTAGGTTAAGTTTCATAATTGGTATTTAATTTTCGGTGCATTTATGTTGCACAGTTCAACTGGTATACAGCATTTCTTTGTTAAAGAATATAGTGCTCCTCTGGGGATACTTGCAGACCTTTCACACAAAGTAATCTGTATGTGAAAGGTTTTGGGTTTGTATGTTTTTGAATATCGCGCAAAGCTGCACGAGAGATGTCTGCGCTATCCGTCCCTAATTTAGCAGTGAAAGACTAGAGGGAAGGCAGCTAGTCATCGACACCCACCACCACCTCTTGGTTTACTCTTTTACCAACGAATAGTACGATTGACCGTCACATTATGACAAGAAGAAGAGATACAATTATGATATACATAACGTTTAACTTGTTTTGGATATATTATTTTAAAACAAGCGGAGTGCGTGCTGTTCATTTATTGTCGAATTTATCGCTAACAAGTCACTGACACCTACTTTAAAACTAGAAGAATCCTTAGCCCAACACACTCTTAAACATATATTTACTTTATATGTATATTACTACTTAAAAATAAGTTTTTTGACAATCGATTTACAATTACATAAAAAAATGTAACAAAGAATATGTTATAACAATAAAATGGTCCTTTGTCATTAACACTTTCTCAAAATTAAGGTAAATTTATAACATAGAGTCGAATAAAAAAAGAACCAATTAAAACAATGTTTCTATACACAATCCAAAGCACAACAAATAAAAAAAATGTTTGGTTTGTCCTTTAATTAATCAAATAAAAACAACGTTAAACCAAAAAAGAACTCTTTATTATCACTCATAACCTCAATGACGGGACAAGAATGTTAGTATTACGATATATATAACTTCACAAAAATACAGTTTGAGATATAATTACTGCAGCTGCTACCGTGAGCTTTGTTCTCACTTAAGTCTTATTCGAAGCTACTCCTTTGGGCATCATTACCACAGGAACTATCTGGTAAGATGGGAATCTCTCTCACATTCAAGAGATGCCTCAAATTAAATGAAACCTATTTTTATTTAACACATACAACAATTGGAAACATATACTGCGAATTGGTGTAAATCTGTAAACTGCTGTAGTATGTTTCATACTGAAAAAAAACATGAATTGTATGCACGAAACAATAATGCTATTATTTCCAGGAGATGCACGTTACTTACACACGACAATGTTGGACATTCTTACTAAATGAGAGAGAGAGGTTGTATTCTCAAGGTATCAAATGACATGCCAGTGGAAATTGCCACTTTGTGCTTCTACATAGTATGCTCAAATTTATAGAAATAGTTACTAGGAGAAAGTACATGTGATACCACAGGTGAATGACCAAGAACAATAGGTAACTAGTGCAAAAAACTTAACTACTTCCTTGACTGACATTCCATACTTAAAACAACATAAAACTGTATGCATAAAAATGTTTTTAATTCCATATAAAATGTAGTAAGTTGCCAGAAACATTTCAAAATATGGTCCACATTTTCTATTTAACATGATTGTATGTATTTTTGTTGATTTTTTGTAAAGGGTTATCTTACTGTGCATGATTGCACTTGTGATATCGTAGATTTATAATGGCTGGAGACGGCTTGAATGGGTAATGAAGAAAAACTTTAATGTAAGTTTAACATAACAGCAAATGTACAACTTTTCGACAAGGTTTTGTCATCATCAGGAACAAGTAATTTACACTGACACGGATATATATATATATACGGTATTGAACAAAGAAGTCACATGACCGGAACTGTTGCGAAACTTA